GGGTGCAGCCTTAGGAAAGTCCCACTCTCTGGAGCTCCTGTTGACTCATGTGTTCAAAATGATTTCAAGATCTCAGATTGTAACAGAGCCAAAGCCTTGTATTGTTTTTGAAAGCTGCTTATTAAAAAGACAAATAGGAGCTAATAACAACAGCACAAAACATGTTCCATTTTTAGGGAACTATAAATCTTTTATAGTACAGTACATTTAGAAGTAATTTAGTGTCATTAAAATAGCTAATTGGCCTGTAAAGTACACCAAAGCCTTGCACAACTCATGAACAGCTCAAGACAGACATCAACATTTTGAGCTTTGTGAATGTGACACGGGTGGCTATACAGATTTCTATGAGAAATATATTTATACAGATTGTTATTTTCACTCCACGTGAATAGTTCCATTTCTTTTTTTTTTAGAACACAACTTATTGTACAGCACACCATAACAGGCAGCCATTTCTGGGGACTGCAATAAAGCATTTAGGTTTTCATCTCCTGTCATATGCGAATTTACTGTATTTTCCATGAATAAATTAGTGATGTGTCGGTTGCGAACTTTTACGTGAACGGCGGGAGCCGGCTAGAATAAATACTAAGTGGACGTGTGAGCTTCTTATAATGAAATTTTCCAGTTACCACTAATAGTAATTGTCATCAGAATAAAGTAAATCTTTCTGTCATGAAATGCAAACCAGACAGCCTAAAAGATTGCTGGAAACAAAGAGCTTTGTGTCTGGGGCTTTTATTTTGTTAGCTTGTCTTACCTTCGGGTTGGCCTTATGCCAGACCAGACATCATCTAAAAGGGAACTAAATCTATTATTCTCAAGTTTTAGACAGACTGTGCTTATAAAACCAACATACCTAAATTCAAACACACATAACATCACATAAATCTGTTTCCACGATACTGTATCGTAGCTATCAACAACATAATAGAACTATGTCTTACTCTATTTTTCTGTCACCAAGATGTATGGCAACTGTCAAGGAACATTTATTGGGACATAAATCTACAGAACAATCAAAAGGTGACAACAGTTCAAACATGCAAAACAATCTAGAAGAAAGGAACATTCTTTAAATGCTCCTAACATTAACATGAGGTCTTAGTTTTGTCTGGGCATGACGCCAGTGTTTGAATGAGAGGGTCTTTTTCTTATTCTCTTGACACATTTCAATAGGTCCATTTGCATTATTTTTCATACAGTATGTAGTGGAATCAAGTTAAAACTAGCTAGAGTAAGATCATCCGAAGAGGACAATCCTGAGACAGGAAGTGTCAATCCCTGAGAAAGGCAACTGAAGTTTTTTTCACAAATGTGGTAGGCTACTCTTCTACCTTCCTTTTCAGCTTTCTGTTATTTGATTGATTTTTCCACCTCCTTTTTCCAAGGTGGTTGGCGAGCAAGTTATTGTATTTCTCATCTTCCTCTGGTTCCTCCCTCTCCTCTTTGAACCAGGGGCCCCACACACCCCCATTGTACTGAGGATTAGAGCGCAGGTCTTTGGCCGGGTAGCGTACCGGCACTGCAGTCCTGTTGTACTGCGCTAGCCGTAGCAGCATCTTCTTTACTAAGTGGGGGTATCGCTGGGACAGGTCCACTCTCTCGTAGGGGTCAGCTGTGATGTTGAACAGCCAGATGGACTTACCTCGGTCCCAACGGACACGCTCATTATGCCAGCGGTTTGTTAGCCGCTGGTTGGAGAAGGTCTGCGGGGGCACCCAGTCGCTGTAACCAGGGACCCCCGTCAGGAGCTTCCAGTGGCCCACTCGCAGCGCAGCTCGGATGGCCGTGTTCCATAAACCATACCCGGCCTTCCAGGAACCATTTTTAGCTTTTGTGTAGATTGGGTCAATGTTGTGAAGGATGTCATGGCGAGGAGATGGATGGCCTTCACTGATGGCCTCCCAAACATCGTACCCGTCCAGATTTAGATCTTCGTCTAAAGTCCCTTCACCCAGAGTCACCAGTGTAGGGAACCAGTCAGTGATGTGGACCAAAGACCGACATTTTGTCCCTTTGTTTACCAACAGTGGACTATGAACGAAACCCACTGCTCGGATCCCCCCTTCCCAGTAGGTGGCTTTACTTCCCCTCAAGGGCCAATTGCTTCCACCTGCTAAAGGCTGGCCTCCATTATCTGAGGAGTACACTATAACCGTGTTGTCATAATAACCGTAGCGCTTTAGCGCTAACGTGAGGTTGTGGATAGATTCGTCCAGGCACGACACCATGGCGGCATATTTACGACGATGCATGTTTGGAATCCCCTTGTATCGCTCGAGGTAGCGGGCCGGAACCTGCAGCGGTGAATGAACCGCCTGATAGGCTAAATAGAGGAACAAGGGTTGTCTGCGAGGATCGTGATTGGCTAAGATGTTGATAGCCTTTCGGGTAAACATCACAGTTGAATACAATCCACGGTCCTGTTCCCAAGCTGCCTCCTCGCCTTCATACAAATCATAGCCACACATTCCAGGCCCTTCACATTTATAGTGACTGTAGTAGTCCCCACTTCCAAGAAGGGAACCGAAGAAAGTATCGAAGCCACGCTGTGTGGGGAGACAGTCACGCTTGTAGAAGCCAAGGTGCCACTTCCCCACCATGTGGGTGGAGTAGCCTGCTTGCTTTAGCTTCTGGGGCAAGGTGACATTTTCCAGGGGTAGGCAGTTGGGCTGGGTAGCTCGGATGATGGAGTGCTGAAGGCCTGTGTGGATCTGATACCTACAAAACAAAAACAGATATCTGCCATCAACAACAGTTTGGAAGCAAAATGCAACTTTCAGAAAAGCTTGACCTCTAGTAGGACAACATTCTCCCTTGTTTGACATGTTAATGCTACACAAGACTAACATAAAAGGATAGTACATCTACTATCATATTTGTCATAAAAAAACTAAAAGAGAAGCCCTGTCACTCAAGACAAGACTGGATACAGAGTTGTGACCTGGAGATAATGAGGCAGCCATGTTGGCAGCAAGCTTACACAGCACTATTGATAACTGAGGTACATACACCCTGTATTGAGAACGGTTGAAAACAAGTACTTTGTGACTAATTTCACTGCAAATGTTAACTCTCAAGTGCTTTTGACACAAAATGTCAAACAGAATTGTTGGTTAATTCCGTTTCAGAACAAACCCTCTCCACCCATTGGAATTTCAAGACTCTCCCATTCCCACAGCACCACATCATCAGTAACTCAGCGGCTGCTTCAGAAAAACGTTCTTAGTGACTTAAAGCCCCCTTGATATGCCTGACCAAAGCCACTTCTGCACAATATGACACCGCTTACTCAATAGTGTGTAGGATTGGTTATTGAACATAAATGCTTAAATCTTTCTTTACAAGAATTAATAAGAAAATTGGCCCATATATCAAAAATAATATATATATTATATATATATTTATGTTAATATTTTTGTATTAATTTAGGGCCTCTTATAAGCCCTGAAATACAACTTTAGTAGGATTGATTCACTTTTCTAAAAAAACATATAAACACTGCACAATCACTGTAAATACTATACATCTGAAGGCTTATTTCTATTGTGGTCCTATCGTGACACACCACAAGAGGAAGCAACACAACAACAAGACAACAAGTGCAGACAATACAATCATCTTATAATAGCAGGCATCATGGTAGCCAACATGCTCCTGTTATAGTTAAAATGTCATTTGAACATGCTAAATGGTTATTTGTAGCATGTTCTTAAGCCACTTTAAATTTGCTCAGTGAAATACTCAGTTTGAGATACCACTGTACTGCTGCACTGTAGAGAACTGTGTTTGTGAAAAGGTATGAAGAAAAGTCAAGCTCCCTCTTGTAAAGTAGCTATGATTGTCTCTTAGTAGTGAGAAATAACTATGTAACTACTGTATGTATTTAGGGGGATCATTCATTAACAGTGGAATATAATATCCATAAATGAGTATTCATTATAATCCCCTGAAACTAAGTTGTGTTTTCCTTAAAATGAGACCTTATCCTATCCAATTCCTGTACCATGGGGTTCAAAGTGTTTACCATCATCTTCTAGAGTAGCTCAAAACAGACGAACCTCACAGCGGCTCTATACAGTGCCTTACACGTATTTACGTTACCTTAAGCTACTCAATGTATCCAACACATACAACTGTGAGCTGCTGCCTGAATTTGTTGCTCCTAAAGTAGTGTCATGGTAAGGATGGCCTCTGAAGTTACCACAGCCTGGCAAAGGAAGTGGTTTTTAGTTTACAATGCTTAATGCCCCCAATCATACACACAGTAAATATATATGTACTCAATTAGAAATATGAGTTGTAGGATGACTTAAATATGGATAGTCCACTTTGTTATCATTGAGATTGATTGTGTTCCAAGCCCCTAGCAAAGCTTTGGAAGCATTTTGACTTCATTTCTGCCTGCTGTGATTGAAAGCAATACGCCCCAGACCAAAGGAACTGAAGAAGCTGGATGGCTCTTCCCCTTCTTCACTCTTTTGACCCTCCCTTGCTATTCCCTGGGGTTAGTGGTGTGCAGTCAAGCTGTCAGCAGGCAGAGGGAGTGAAATAAAGTGTCTAGTTTTGGTTTCTATAGAGGAAGATTCGGTCTGAGGAGAACCTAGATCCTAGAATGTGGTTAGGCCCAGAACCCTCAATTTTCCCTTGATCATTAAAAGTCACCATCTAGTGGTAAGTGCAACATTCCAAACATACCAATAAACTAGTGATTTGAACTCAAATCCTACTCCAAGAAAAACAATACACACTACATATCCACATAAAAGCCGACTGTAACTGCTAACACACAAGCCTGAATGTTACCAACTCGTACTTTAGGAAGCTAGATGGTTATGTGTTAGTTTGGTAAGGTTTATTTTTACTAGAAATAATGTACCGAGATCTTTGATAGAATAATGTTTATGTAAACTTTGAAATCCTCAGCCAATGAGATTTTGTTACTCACACTTTTTCAAGAGATAATTATTGGCTGCATCCTGGCCTTCCTGTCACTACATTTAAATATGCATTTGTAATGAATAATAGGGAACAGTGCCTTAACACTCATCTATTATGCTATATTTGAACAATATATTACAGGGCCATATGTATACAAAAAATGTCTCTGAAGTGTTTTGCTCAAAATACCAAACAGACATTGTAGCAAGCCTCATACCTGATTCTGGGTCTAGCCCAGGGGTCTGCAACCTTTTTGACCAAAAGAGCCATTTTGCTCCTTTTTCCAAAACATTTTTTTGTCTGGAGCCGCAAAACATATTTCATAGCTTGATAGCTAATAAAGTTGTATTTATTGTTATATCAGACAAAAACTACAGTTTTTTTGCATTTATTAGGCTATTTATTACATTTTATAAAACTGTTAACCTCTAATAAGAAACAAAGAACTCCTATAAGGAGAATTAGAAATAATACACAGGCCTACTTTAAAATAAATTAAACACAGCACTTGAGGAGTCCTCTGCACATTTGAAGGAAAAAAAATATTATTAAAATGGGCCCACTTTGAAATAAATAAAACATATAGCTGCACCCTAAAAAGAGTTAAAGGTAGGGTAGGTAAGAATGGAGAAACCAGCTCGAGTGCGCTAGAATTTGAAAATACACAACCGGAAAAAATAGCCTCTTCCTTCAGACTTTCTTACAGAGTCCCTCCTCCAACACACACGAACGCGCATCATCAATGAGGGCACGAGATAAGTTTGTGCACAGATGGAAGGCTGACAGGCAGGTAGGCCATCCAATCATTTTAGCCGGGCCGGCTAAAATGATTGGTCGTGCTTTTTACAGCGCTACGGCTTCCAGAGATTAATTTTTGTATGTATTTATTGTCAAAGCATTTAATATATTCATTGCTATCGGGATGTTAAGAGCATTCCATGGAATATAACAAAAAGTGTTTTCTGAAATAAATTACATACCCCATTGAATTATGACTGAAGATCGTCAGCTGTCTTCCTCTCCCTGTTGTTCCCGTTGTTTCTC